ATGTTGATCAGAAAATGATAATGAATATGGAGCAGTTGGTGGAATGTGAACTGTCGGAAGACAATGAAATAATAGAAGGAAATCCATCTCAGTGCTAATTTGCCCACCACAAATCCCACATGACTTGACCTGGAGTCAAACGCAAGCTGCCATTGCCCGAATTCGGCGGCTGCCCGCCTTTGCTTGCGCCACGCAACACTTCTGAAAGTGGATTCGTAGTACGAGTAATATGTTCATAGTTACGCATTATTGGGAACCCTACGCGAATAATTCGAACAGCGAATTTCACGGTTTATTGAAATAGTTTTCTTTTTTTTTTCTTCTTCTTGTTTTAAAATATTTAATACATTATTTCAGGTTGCCAGAGCGGTGGTTATGAAAAGTCCTATCTTCTGGGACATAAAGCTGTGTAGCCCATTAAAAGTCATCTGGCGTTTCGGAGGAACATCCACCTTCCCTCCATATTCAGGAAGGTAAATGCTATATGTTTGTCTGAAACGTCGGTTGATCCTCAACGGAATACAAGGCATTATACCCCAGAAGATGAGACTCAGTGTGAAAACAATTTGTCCAGCATTTGACGGTCCCACATTATCTAGACAATCGGCTCAAAGATGGCGGTAAAGTTGTCGGCATTACGCACCGGCCGGCCTTTATCCCCCAGGAAGATTCATGGTATTCAGTCCTGTTAAAGGCTGAGTCGACTCCGGGGCCATAGTGCGGCTAGAAGAATTAGGTCAATTGCAAATATCCACTTCAAGAGGACTCGAACCCGCGACCTTTCAGCTTGTAGCACAAACTACCCTACCGCATACCCCATTATTCATATTCGTTTCGTATTTAGCTCTACAACGATTTCTCTGTTTTCTGTGGAAAAATTTGTTGAGTGTTTTGACACAGGCCTGATCGTTCCCATGAGTTGTATATTTTGACATGAAGACTGTTCATGTAAATAAGAGCATGATTGTTTGGGCTGGAGTGCCTCTTATGGAATGACAGCCTTTGGAAATTAGGAATTTCTAACATCTCCTCTGCTGAAACAAGTTTCAGATGACACAGATTTCAACTTACATACCCCAAGCCTTAGAAATATAACTCCAGAAACTAAGCACGAAATATTTTCTGTCTTGTGAATCTTCAGGAATGCTGTTTGTACGTTTACTTTGTCCCCTCTAACCTTCTGCTCTTTCACTACTGCAGTCTACAATTTGCGTCGTGTCTCAAACTAAGACTTCTTCACAAATCCGCGATTATATCATATTTTCCTTTCTAAAATAATTAATTGACCGCCTCTGTGGTATAATGGTCAGAGTTCCTGACTAGAGATCTAAAGGTCTGGGTTCGATCCCCAGCGCTACAAGATTTTCCGAGAAGTAGCTGGTCTGAATTGTGGTCCACTGAGCCTCGTGATAATAATTAAGGAGCCATTGCAGTGAAATAGCGGCTCCGGTCTAGAAAACCGAGATTAGTGTCCATGGGGATTCGTTGCGCTGACCACGCGATACCCTCTATCCGCTAAAGTTGGCATTAACTTCTCCGACAAGCGGCGGTCTCTCGGTAGGTATAGTTCGCTTGCGGACTGAAAAAACTGTGTAAGATTTGAGGCTTTCACGGCGGTGACTATGAAGAAAGCAGTCTTCTGGGATTTGGCACCGTGTATATGTGGTGTTAACCGACGTTTCGGAGGAACGTATCGCCCCCATCTTCAGGGTCAAAGAATGAGCTAAGCAAGAAATTAGCATGTTATATAATCGTAACAAGCAACGCTTAATTTCGAAACCGCAAAACGAAGCTGAAGATGGAGGTGATGTGTTCGAATGTTTGTACTTGAGTTCCGCTTCATAATGGTTTCTTCCTTGGCCTATTCTTCGGTCCTGAAGATAGAGGTGGCATGTTCCTCTGAAACATCGATTTTCTTTCAACGAACTACACGGCGTTATATCTCTGAACATAGAACTCTTCATAATTACCATTATGAAAAACTAATTCCTACTTACTTGACGATTTTCGAGAAATTAGGCACGTAAATTTTTACGATATCGTCGCATATTACGTAAGTCTCGTGTTAACAGGGTAATTCCCCGTCTTCACAGCTGGCGATTCTACGGTGGTCTCAACACCAGAACCACACAATACAGTGCAGTGTCATTTTTGTGATTATGAATCTTCGAAAAATTGCTAATGTCATTATTTCTGCAACGTAATATGAGAACATGGTGACGAGATAAGGTCGATAATTCACTTTTCATGTAATAGTAATAACGGCATAATTAACTTACCGCACCTAGGATGCATTATCTACGTACCTACATGAATCCTATGTAGCTTTTCTGTGTTTTAAAATGAAATAATGACGAGGACCCGAGATTCTACAACCATAGGCTTGTCCGCGAATTTTCAGACGGAGGGAATCTGCTCTGGTTTTATTTCCGGCTTGAGGAGTGTGGAATTTTAATCTGGCAACTCGCTTTAATTGTATTAATGTGACGTGTATATCCACTGCTAAGAAACGACTCGGTAAACACACTCCTTCTGGAGAAGAAACGCGCAATAAGATATCGATATCTAGGCAACGGATTGGTAAACGCGCTTCATTAACAAATGGGGTTGTGTTTTCTGCGTGGTCCGTGCAAAGAGGTTATAAAGAAGTGTTTAGCAGCATAGCACAGAGTCGAGTTTCGTGATGGCAGACTGCCATGATATGATCTTGGGAGCAGAGGAATTGAATTGAATCGATTCTTTTTAATTAACAGTTGCAAAATAATTGCAAGAAAGAATAAGGCTGCGGAAAGAACACTTCATGTGTGATTTGAAATTACAATGAGACTGTTATAAATCCGTTACCAGGATACGAATAGCGGAGACTGAGAATCCTAGTGCGCATGTGTAACGGTGAACTGCAAAGTGTGTAGATCAGCGATAGCGCTGTATTACCTGTAGCCCCGAGCTGAAAGTATAAGGTGTCGATAAATCTAATCACTCAATCCAGAACCCTTCCTATAAGTCACGTACAAAACCCCCTATACGTGACATTAATTCTAAATGGGTTTTGTCCATTGCATCAGCAATCTTTTTCACTCGGCTTCCATTTTATTTTGAGCGGTTGTTTTGGGCCTATCAACATATATTTTATACATTAAGTTTCAGTAGTACTGCTAACGCTGTAAATATATGTGAAATGTGCTCTAGACAACTGACAATGTCAAACGGAATATCATTATAATAAATCAATATTTCTTACGAATATTTAGAGAACGGCAAGCGAGTTCCAAGTTTGCTGGCTCATGAGTGCTTTGGGCTTTACTTCCCTCCTCCATATCCGGCCATAATATTTGTAGTGCTTAAACACAGGGACAATAACAGACGCCACGTATCTCCTCCGAATAATATGCACATCGTACTCTTATACATAACTGAAACAGGTTCCTTATTCTATATTACGTTTTAATGTCCCTAAATGAATAAAATATATTAGTTTAAATAAAATGTGTTAAATTTCTTAGAAGTAGCTTATTGTACAAAAGATAAAGGCATTTCTGTGCCAACCAGGAAAACAGTGGTAGTTCCTTTAAATGCCCAGCTGTATCACTTAAATATAATTCTCTGTGTAGAACAGAAATAGCAAGACAAGAATTACGTCCATAAATAAGACGCCGGACTAATGTACGAACTTTTCTTTGCCGGATGATTGATTCGAAGGAAATTAATTGTTGAGGAGCTGAGTAACATTAAACAAACATGGACCACGAGGGGCAACATTGTGGCGTTTAAGCCTTTTAAACCATTTCGTACACCTAGGCATATATAAAATTATAATATTAAAGTGGATCTTAAAGAAATGGTGTGTTAGGATATGGACTTGATTCACCTGGCTCAGTATAGAGTATATGGTCCAATAGATTTAATAACATTGCGGATTTCATGAAAGGTGGGGAATTTCTTGGCTAGCTGATTGACTAGCAGCTTCTCAAGATTGACTGTGATCCATGAAGATTATTCTCTTGAAGAAACACCTAGATATTTCTGTGTACATATTCTCATGGCTTATTTAACAAAATTTGTCAAAAAATGCCCTGTTTAAGTAGCGTCTCCAGGCCTAATAGGGCTCTGTACTGGACGATGTGATGCAAGTCAGTGACTCGCCTTGATTCTGAAGCTTGCCCCAACGTCCTGTACCTTGGGGCTGTGCTACCTTCTACAGTACGTAGTACGTACAGTACTAGCAAAACTTACTTAATTACTTACTCATGGAGCTGAGCCCTTCTAGAGAAGCCGCCAATTCTGTAGTTACTCAAGAATTTCCCAGTATTTAATGAAACCCGAAGGTTCATCACCGTGGTCACAAGAGCCCTCCACTGGTCCCTATCCTGAACCAGATCAATCCAATCAATACCATCCCATCCTATCTCTCTAAGATCCATTTTAATATTGTCCACTCACCTACACCTTGGTCTTCTCAGTGGTCCCTTTCCTTCTGGCTTTCCCACGAATATCCTATATTCCTTGTCTCCCCCATTCGTGCTATATGCCCTGCCCACCTAATCCTCCTTGACTTGATCATTCTAATTATACTAGGAGAAGAGTACAAGTTATGAAGCTCCTCATTATGCAGTTTTCTCCAACCTCCTGTCTCTTCATCCCTCTTCGGTCCAAATATTCTCTTCAACACTCTGTTCTCAAACACCGTCAGTCTATGTCCCTCTGTTATACCGTGACTAAATACAGATCCCTCTAAAGTTATCGTATGCACATAGCTGTTTGATTTTAAATCGGTTGTTTCTGCAGTTGTTTGTCATTTGTATAGCACATAGAGCGTTAGTTACGTAACTATGTAGTTAGTTCTGCGTTTGTTCTGCTGTAAAGAGAAGCTTAATTTTTAATTCCACGTGACACGTAATGAAGTGCAAACAGAACGGGCTTGTAGTCTTATCTCTGCATCAGGAGGCCCCACGAGACCTGAAGCAAACATCTCGGGTGTGTTGTGGCTATACTCACGCACTACGAACGGCTTTGTAATTATTGTGACCATATTGGCTGGATTCTGAATATCCTGCTTGCAGGATACGTAGCTTCTTGTTTTCTATCATCACGTGATCGTGTGTGTAAACCCGAGAGCTTGTTTTGTTTAGAATATTTTTGCTTAGTTATATTAGCAAGTATTTTTGATAATTATCAAGTTGGTTAGCCTGCAACAATTTCTGACCGTGGCCGATTTCTTGTACGAATATTATCCTGGACATTTATACGCTACGTTGCGGGCGGTGGATGATGTCAGGCATAATAGCGGCCTAATGACACGGCTGGTAAGTAATTCGTTACTTGGATAGGTACTTAGTGAGTTAGTGTATTTGTTCTTCTTTTAATTTGTTAGTTGTTCAGTTATCGAAAGGGTTGTTTTGTCATTTGTTGCTTAGTTACATTTTTAAAGGTCACGCCATAGCTCAAGCTGTTAGTCGCTGGCTTCCCACCGCGGCGCCCCCGGTTCGATGCCGGGTCTAGTCAAGTGGGATTTGTGGTGGACAAAGTGGCGCTGGGGCAGGTTTTCTCCGAGTACTTCGGTTTCCCTGCCAATCTTCATTCCACCAATTGCTCCACAATCACCCTCACCTATCATCTGGGGCTGGTACAATAGACCAGACGTGGACGCAGTACAAGGTACTTAGTCCCACCCCACTTGTAATAAAAAAATTACATTTTTAAATACTTATTCGACTTTTGTTTTAATATCTCTGCATTGTTTTCTTAACTGGTTAGTGGATAATTAGCTTCTTAGTTGTTTTTCGGAGAGTTACATGGTTGTCTGTTTATTTGACACTGATTTGCAAACTATGTTTGAGGTGGATTGAATTCTTCTTTAAGACAGACAAGAGAAAAAGTACCGGCATATACCTCGAAGGGGTGTACAGCATTTAGAATCTATATAGGATACCCGTTTGAAAATACCCATGAGTGAAATCAAGACGTAGAGAGAAGACGATAACAGATTAATCATTAAGGTTTGTGGGTTTTGTTCGATGTGTGCAATCTTGAATTTCAGATTCTGTCTTTAGACTGTGTTACTATGAAACAGTTTCACTGCTATATAAATCCATACTACAACCACAATTATAAGATTATAGAAAGACAGGAAAAAAAAAGGCATCGGACCGATAAGTAACCCGAGAAAATGTTGGAAGAGGTAACTTTCAAATGTAATTAGTTACTTTCTGTTTCAGGTAATGATGTTCAGTGAACCACTCGCATGTAGAACAAACGAAGAACTGCTGACGTTACGAAGAATGAACGTGTTCTGATATGTCTGTGAGTGTTCGGTGACTGTCATGTCTTCCCTCTTGGACCTATAGGACATTTTCGCCTCGATTACTCTATTTAAAATCAATTAGTACATGTTTCTATATGATCTCAGAACGAGAAGTAAAAGACTGCCAAATTATTTCGTGATTTTCCGATGATCAAGTTTTTCTTTAATCATTTTCATCCAGTGTATAATGTAACATATTATCTTTTGTAAGAATTTTGAGTCAGTGTTGCTAACTTTTGAAATGAGTGCTTCGGAGTTTTTCTATCAGAACAATTCGGATACTCTTTTCGGTTTTGAGAATGAATCTATAGAGGAATATCTCGTGAGGACGCTCGGTCCCAAACGCCTGCCTCTCGCAGTAGTGTTGCCTATTACCATCATCTACGTCACCATATTTGTGACGGGTATCATCGGTAATGTGGCGGTCTGTGTGGTAATTGCGCGCAACAAGTCCATGCGGACGGCCACCAACTACTACCTCTTCAGTCTCGCTGTCTCCGATCTGACTCTGCTTCTCCTAGGTGAGTGTTGCATGTCAGTGGCTACTCGTCACAGTGCTCAATGTGGAGCTTTGTATGGTTATCACATCCTTGTGCATGGCCACCAAAGTTCTGTTGTGTTCAGCTTCAACGTGTCCTACCTCACCCTTCTGCTCCCAGGTGAGACATAACCTTCTTTCTCCACTCGAAATATATTTACAGTAACATTAGCTGGAAAGGGTGAAACTGAACCTCTCTGCAACAGATTTTTGTTGTTGTTTCATAACCTCAAATACGAGGCCATTGATATGGTATTATCTTTAGACATGCTGTGTATTTGTGTGTAATGTGCAAGTAATGTGTCACAGATTCACTCACCTATCCGTTGTGTAATATCTGTATAACATAAACAGAGACGAAATACAAGCAAGTTATCGATTTCAAAACTAGGAACGACTAATTTTGATGTTTTCCTTCTTTACATAATTAAATCATTAATTTGTAGATAGGTTAGGCATGAAGCACATATAATTTAATCAACTTATCCATAGAGTAGTTTGGTTGTGTGGTTTGGTAAGGCGCCATTTAAATTCAAGATTGTTTTAAGAGAATAATTAAACGAGTTTTACATTAGCATGTCAGGCACATGGAAGAATTCAAGTGAAACATGAACGGTCCTGAATTTAGTAGCACGTAATCGAAGAAGAGCAATCCCGGTCTGGTCAAGTGGAATTTGTGGTGGACAGTGAGGCGCTGGGGCAGGTTTTCTCCGAGTACTTCGGTTTCCCCTGCCAATCTTCATTCCACCAATTGCTTCACAATCACCCTCACCTATCATCTGGAGGTGGTACAATAGGCCAGAAGTGGCCGCAGTGCAAGGGACTCAGTCCCACCCCACTAGCAATAATAAAAAAAGAAGAGTAAAGAAAGTTTCAGACAATCTGGGAAGAAAACACGACTTAATATGTGACGTATTTGCGCTATGCAGGATACCCCCCCTCCAACGGTGACGTAACAGCATCGGAGCAACTGCCGCTGCTACGGTAACAGGCCAGTAAACACTCCGTCCCCTCTCGCGGTGACGTAACAGGGGATACCGCTGGTAACGCGAGGCAACAGGGAACGGTATAAAAAGCCGGCTGAGCAATGTGTGATCAGAGAGTGTGTGATCAGGAGTGACACAGTGCGGATCGTGAAGTCGCCGAGAGCAGTGGATGTAATTGTGATACTGCCCATGGCAGTAATTGTAATTGTAATTGTGAATTGTGTGAGAGTGAGAACGAATGTGGAATAAATTCGCTATATTCAATACGGCGTGAAATTACTTGTCGCGCGTTACATACCCAACACCTGACAATATATTCTAGAAATGCCCAAGTATATAGACTGAGTTCTCGGTCATGCCTTTAGAATGAATCAATGTGGCCGCTAGTGTAACTGGTCAAATTGGCAACTCGAGTAAAGAGATTTTGTGTTGCAGTCCAACTTAGGGCAATGGTTGCAGAATTTACATAATGGCGCTAATTCAGCTTAGCAAAGATTTATCGCATCCCCTTTCTGTACTTTATGTGGTTGTATAAAGAGCAGATTTCTGTCAGAATTTCAATTTTAAAATTGTTGGGTGCAAATGGGTGTCTGCTTATTCAGATTTTGAGAAATTTATGTCTTTAAAATAAAATTATAACTTTCTGCAAAATACCCAAATGGAAAGTGAAAAGTTCTTTGTTTGTTTCTATTAAATTGCAAGGACGAAATTTTTAAAAAGTAGGGAATATGAAGGCAGTGTTACTTTATATGTTTCTTTTTTATATTTCTAGATTCATTACGAATGCGTTAAGTTCCTTATTCTGTTTCTGAGTGTTAATATGAGCGCCTTGTACAGATTCATTCGAATTACTTAGTTCTCGGAAGTTCTTTTACCGAAGAAGATAGTTTATGAATCAGTTCTTCATTGCAAAACTTTCATTATCGTTGCTATGACTATCTACTGAGAAAACAGATATTTCTTCTTTCAATTCAAAGGCTCCCTTTGTCACGAGGAACCAGCCTGTTTCGAAATAGCATAGGGAGGCGTTGTGTTCTCCCTCCATATCACCACATTAAATTACAAAGCGTCTTCTTCTGAATGTAGTCTGCAGCTCCTCGCTCATGTCCCTAGATGAAGACGCCTGTTTGTATAGATAATGTGTAGAGTTTTCTTGTTTACCAATGTCTGAAGTCCCGCACTTCGTCCTGATTTTGGCTTGCCTCCGTCAGTGGAGAATACAAAGCAGTTTTCACAATTTAATTCATTCTCCTAACAGAAAATATTTTATTATATTGAACATTAACAGCGATATAGCTCTATCATCAGCAAAGGTACGATATCAGTTATTTTTATGCTTAATTAATTAAGCACCACCCCATGAAGACGTATGGCAGAGTGAAGGTATAGCTCCACCATCCTTGCTCTCAGCACTAGGTCGATATTAGTAGTCGTTCTCACGCTCCTACTGGTTCTCCCCCCAAGGAAAGAACCCTCAGTACCCATTGTATAGGTGGCTGGATGGGCTCCAAATCATATCTAAGAATCTTCAGTAATATTGTTCTCCAGAACTTATCAAACATAAGGAATTGCCTCTGCATTTTCAACTTCAGTGATTGCCACATATATTGCAGTGAAAAACATGAGGTTCTCTGTTGAACATGAAGGTCTCCTGGAATATCAGGTATATTTCTTTCTATTGTGTTATCTGTAAAAGGAATTTCCCAGAGATTTTTGTCTTGTGATTTATCAAACATTGGTTCAACTATAACAATAGGAGCACGTAACACTGAATATTCTCAGACTGAATGAAGTACTCGGCGTTTCATATTTCGCTTGGCAAACATTGAATTGTGAAAGTACGATTTGCTTTAATGTAACAGTTGTTAGTTTTAAAAATGCTCGGTTTTGATTACTGAAAACATTTCATTTTCTACGTAATAATTTAAATGTTTTTCAGAAACTTTCATGTCTCTTTCGTTTAATCAGTTTCATGCAGTCAGTATCCAAAATGTGCGTATAAAGTAAACACTGTGGCATCTCTTCACCTTCATCATCGTTGTTTGTGAAACCAAATGTCATATTTCGGGCGTGCCTTTTGCATTCTTGCTCTTATATATAGTTTCTTTACTGTAGCGTGCCACAGTTTCTTTGCTGTAACGTGCAACAATTTCTTTACTGGAACGTGCCACAGTTTCTTTATTGTAACGTGCAACAGTTTCTTTACTGTAACGTGCCACAGTTTCTTTGCTGTAACGTGCAACAATTTCTTTACTGGAACGTGCCACAGTTTCTTTATTGTAACGTGCAACAGTTTCTTTATTGTAACGTGCAACAGTTTCTTTACTGGAAGGTGCCACCNGTAACGTGCAAAAGTTTCTTTACTGTAACGTGCAAAAGTTTCTTTACTGTAACGTGCAACAATTTCTTTACTGTAACGTGCAAAAGTTTCTTTACTGTAACGTGCAACAATTTCTTTACTGTAACGTGCAAAAGTTTCTTTACTGGAATGTGCCACCATTTCTTTAGTGGAACGTGCCACAATTTCTTTACTGGAACGTGCCACAGTTTCTTTAC